ATTTACCGCCGGTAGACAAAATGGTCGTGTAGGGCCGGCGGCCATAACACCTATCCCAGTCAACTCGGCTTTTCATATGACGGAAAAATACCACTGTTACATCTATTGTTAACCCATGGGTAGTAAAAGTTTCAACTGTCGGTTTCCTTCCTTAGGAGGCCTCGCTATTGGTTCAACCGACAGTGGAAGTATACCACCGTCGCTTCTATCGCTACGGCAGTGAAAGTGGCGACTATGGTATATCAATCTGTAGTAGTAGAAGTTCACCTAGACACAGGCGGGTAGTGCTTCAATGCGATGGAAACAATGACCTAATCACGGATGGATCATAAACCAATACAATGGTGTTAGTACATACCCACACAGGCGGGTCGGGCCCCAATGCGACGGAAATAAGGACCTGATCATGGACATATCACAAGCCAATATGACAGTGTTAGTGTATACCCACATAGGCGGGTCATGCTCCAATTCGACGTAAATAAAGACCTAATCACGGACGAATCATAAGCCAATACGGTGGTGTTAGTGTACACCACAGTTGGTGATAAAGCCGACGGTGAGGGCTATGACCATCACTGTCGACAGCTTACTGTCGAGGCCGAAATTCGGCTATGATGGGAGGTTACGATGTGGCTGTGATAGGTGTAAATGTAGTAGTGGAGGCCAGGTAGGACTCAGCCAAGTGCAAGCCAGGCAATAGGAAGGCAGACAAGATAGAGGCAAAATCGACTGGCTACTCTGTTGTTTGGAGACAAACCATCATAGTTTTTAGTTTTTTTTGGATAGAATGTCTTTGTCTTTTGGAAAAAGCATGTCTTTTTCTGTACCATAGCATACACATGCTTGCTGGTCACTTGTCTCACGTGATCTTTGGACTGGTTGATCATGTGTTGTGTAAAATACCCAAGTACCAGTGATGGGTCACATATGTGACAGTAGTAGTAGAAGTATTGTGTAAAATACCCAAGTAATAACAGACTTATGTCATGGCAGACAATGTGTTATGTAATATACCCAACTATTCTTGATGTTCATTGTCATATGTCATATTGGTCTTGATGTATTTGTCAATGTCGACTGAATATGCACAAGTTCATAATGCCTACACACACATTCTGCATTTGTCAAATAGCCAACAGATTTTTATTTCACAGAAACACATTCTTCACATTCAACAGAAACAACAGTTATCTTACATTCAAAAGAACCTTCATTCATCTTACAAACAACCATCATGCCTACTTTGCTCTAACATTCAACTAAACGTGATCTAGAGGCCATCATGTCATCCTAATACCATCATGCCCACCACAAACACACAGATGAAACCACACAAATTAGTGCATCCATTCTTCATTCCCTTCATCTTCACTTGCAATGCCTCCAACTCCTTCTGCTTGCCTTGCAGCTCTTCATCTTTCTTGAGCAACTCCTTGTCCTTGGCTTCTAACTGTGCATCCATGTTCAGCAACTGCCTTTGCAAGGAATGGTTCATCTTCTCAACCTACTCAAAATGCTTGTCTTGCCTTCATCAGCAACATGCTCTCTCCTCTCTTCATCAGCAACATGCTCTCTCCTCTCCCACTTCAACTTAAACACAACATTCTTCAGGCCCATCAGCAACTCCTTGATCCAGTCTGATGTGGGTGGATCGACCCATACAAAGAATCCACAGTCCTACAGCGTCTGCAACCACAAAATCCATAAAATTAACCAAACAATTCATTACAAAAACCAAATTGAGCAAAGAGTTGCTGCCTTACATTGGCCATCTTCATTACTACAGAAAACTTAACCGAGGTGGGCACCGCAACCGCCTTGGTCTAAAGGTAAATGGATCTTTACCGTGGCGGTTCAAATACCCGCCTCGGTAAATCAAATAAAAAACAAAAAAAAGAAAAACCCATGGACAGGCCCGCCGAGCCTATCCATGGGGACATCTAATTATTTGCCACTCTTACGGAGGCCGCCTCTCTGATTGCCAACTTTGTGGTGGCAACTACAAAAATGTCCCAGAAAATAGTAACTCACCTAATTTTTTGCCATTTTTGCTGACGTGGCATGCCAGATCAGCCCACCAAACTTGGGGAACGGGCCGTTGACGCTTGAAGACCGAAGGCAAAGACCATTCCGCCCCATTGTGTATTGCTTAACGAGCTACTGTCTCCTCCCATGTGCTCGATCCCAACGGTTCTCTCGCTCTGCTCACTTTGCCAGTAGGGCCCACCTGTCATGTTGTCTTCAACCTCCGTCGAAATTCTTCCCTCTCTCTTTTCTCCATTAACGGAGAATCCGAGCTCCAAAGAGCCCACCTCCTTTACTCTGCGCGCAATTAAATTCCATAATAGTGCTTTGCTATAACGTTGCTCTTCAATATCCCTACATCAAATGGACGTTCCTCCATTTCCTCCGTCTCACATTACTCGGCCGCCATTGATGGCAATGAACCGAGCTCCATTCCCATCCACGTTCATCGTTCATCTCCCTATAAAAACTAGAACGAGGTCGCAAGTGCACGCCGCTTGCTCCTCGCCCCCCCGCAACTTCTTTCCCGCGCCAAGACTTCAACTTTCGCCGTCGCCGCCATTGCCGGTCGGCTCGAGCTCGTGATCTCCCACCTCCCACCACCTCTGGACTCGATCGGTTCTTCGCCGCAGCACCGCAGGGTCGCCACGAAGCTCACCCTCACTACTCCTCATCGTCGATCCGTGGCAGCGCATCGTCGAACTCCACCGAAGCTCCGCCACCACCGTCCGCCTTCGCACCTCTTCGCTGCTTCGTCGCGTCTGCGGACCACCCCGAGCCATTCTGCTGACAAAGAGGACCACCAACATACACGCCGCGGTCGCCTCTTCCTTTTCCGTCGGTCGCCGCGCGTCCCCGGCCACCGGAGCCGCAACCCGGCCGACGCTGTCGAGCCCCCGCCGCACGGGAGCACCACCACGCCGACGTCCCTGCTGCTGTGAAGACAACCAGAGCAGAGGCTCCTCTTGGCCATCCGTTTCCAGATCGACGGCCACAATTTCATCTTGACCGTTGGTCAACCAAAGTCATGTTGTCTTCCAATCAGCATGCGCCACGTACTCGGTCAGCAGCCACGTCATCTTTGTTGGCTATTCAACCGTCCAGTCAAACTATATTTGCAGTCTAGCCCCTAAGATCCTTCAAAAACAGTTGCGACTGAGCAGATGGGGGGAGATGGCGCTCGTTAAGCAATATACGGCGGGGGCAGAATGGTCTTTTGCCTTCGGTCTTCGAGCGTCAACGACCCGTTCCCAAGCTAGCTGGCTGATCTGGCATGCCACGTCAGCAAAAATGGCAAAAAATTAGGCGAGTTACTATTTTCTGAGACATTTTTGTAGTTGCCACCACAAAGTTGACAATCAGAGAGGCGGCCTCCGTAAGAGTGGCAAATAATTAGATGTCCCCTATCCATGCGTCGTCGCTGCTCGCTGGATCTGCGACCCATCGCCGCCGCCATCGTCGTGGAGCCTGCTCAAAGCCTGGCCACCCCAATGGGTGCACCGCCGGAGAGGCCCTTCCTGCCCCCGCTGGATCTAGACAAGACCTCCGTCGTCGCGGAGCGAGAATGGTTGCTCCTACGGGTGCACCGCCGGAGAGGCCCCTCCCGACCTCGTCGGATCTGGATGTGACCCCGCCACTGAGGAGCGAGGCTGGCCACCCCTGCGAGCATGCCACTAGAGAGGCCCCTCCCGCCCCCACTGGATCTAGACGCTGCTGTAGCCGCCTAGCTTGCCTGCGCTAGAGAAGACCGTGGTGGATCTGTAGGGGAAGGACCTCCGACGATGGAAGGGAGGAGCGCCAAAGAGGGGCGGGTGGAGAGGAGCGCCAGAGAGAGAGAGGGGGAGGAGCACCAGTGGTTGGGGGAGGGGCGCCGCCACCGCTGCCTGCTCGGTGGAGGAGAGGCACCACTACCGCTAGCTACTCGGGTGAAGGGGCGCCGCTGGGAAGGTAAGGGTGGGGCGCCGTCGAAAACAGGAGGGGAAGGGTGGGGCGCGACTATGAGAGGGAGGGGCGCGGCTGCACGCCGTGAGAAGGGAGGGCGTGGCTGGGAGAGGGAGCTAACCCTAAGTCATGGTTATATATGAGCCTGGTAGAATAATAGATATGGGCTTTGCCTGGGCTAGTATTTTTTGAGGCGGCCCGTCTTCGAAAATAGATTAACAGAGGCAGGTGGTCATCTTAGAAATAGACTATTTTTAGAGGCAGTTGTCTTAAAACGTCTGCCTTCATAAATCGATTTTTGGAGGTGGTTGCGTTAAGACAGCCGTCTCGGTTAATCGTGGATTAACCGAGGCGGGCGCTGGGCCGACTACCCTACCACCGAATAATGGAGGCGGGCAACCAGCCCACTCGCCTCGGAGAGCCAAAGCCAAATGCTGCGTGAAAGTTTTTCTGTAGTAGTGCTTGCACCTGTACTATCTACGCCCACGATTTCCTATAGTCCAAAGAAATCCACCTTGGCGCCTTCATCTGGCATTCGCAATAAACTGGGGGAGATAAGCGAGAGGGGAATGCTGTACGGCACCCACGAGCCTCTAACCTTGATGTCGGTGCTGCCACCATGGCCGGTTGAAGCTGATCCCCGAGATGAGCGGCTGCTTGATTTTGCCATGGCAAGAGCCCGAGCCACTACTGATCCACCTCCACCGCCCCTCCGACGATCCCCCTAGTCTTGGCGGCAACCCTAATCCCACTGGTGCGACGACGTTTGGGTCTGTGCGGGCGAAGAGGGAGAGAGAGACTGAAAGGGACGCGAGGGAGGCGTATTTCAGTTGAGGGGCACCTGACAGCTGGGGCCAAACGCTACCGTTGCCGCGACTGCCACGTTGGACCGCCGTGTCTGCAAAACCGGACGCCCAAACCAAGTCATTAAGTAGGCCAGGTCCAATAGTTCAGGGTTATCTAGACTTTTTTTTTCACAAAAAATTCGAGATTTGGAGTCAATCCTGCGACGAGGCCACGAGGGGAACGAAATGGCCTCGTCGTCCTCCTCTGACTCCGGCCGCATCGCCGGAACCCTAGCCTTGCGTACGAGCTCGGCCTTAGCGGCGGCGTCGCTAATCCCGGGGCTCCCGGACGACGTTGCAACTGTCATCCTTTGCCTGCTCACCTTCCCCGACCAGTCCCGCCTCCGCGCCACCTCGCGCGCGTGGTGCTTGCTCCTCTCCGCGGCCACGCTCCTCCCGCTCCGCCGTAGCCTCCGCCTCCCGCGCCGCCACCTTCTCTGCCTCTTCCCCACCGACCCCTCACTCTCCTCCCCGATCCTGCTCGACCCCGCCGCGCCCACCGCCTGGTGGCCCCTCCCGCCGCTCCCCTGCTCGCCGCAGCTCTACGGGCTCGCTAACTTTGCCGCCCTCGCCGTTGACCGCCACCTCTACGTCCTCGGCGGGTCTTGCTTCGACGCCCGCAGCTACCCTTTGGGGCAACCCTCCGCCTCGGCCGCGGTCTACCGGCTCGACCTTGCCAACTCTCGACATTGCTGGGAACGCCTTCCCGACATGCAGCTCCCGCGGGGGAGTTTCGCGTGTGCCCACACGCCCAGTGCTGGCGGGCTCCTTGTCGCCGGTGGCGGGTCCCGACACCCCATGTTCCCCTCCAACGGCAGCCGCACCGGCAGCACCGAGTGGTATGATGCCACCGCGCAGTCGTGGCACCTTGGTGCCTCGATGCCTCGTGATCGGGCTGGGTGCGTGGGGTTCTTGGCACGCGGAGCAGGGGACGGTGGTGAGGATGAGTTCTGGGTGATGGGCGGCTATGACGGGTACACCACGTTGGGAGGCGTGGTGCCAAAGGACGTGTACTGCCGGGATGCGGTGGTGCTTGGACTATGGAGTGGTAAGTGGAGGGTGATTGGAGACATGTGGGAGGAAGGGGAGAGGAGGCGTCTTGGCCCCATTGCATCTTTATCTGCAGATGATGGAAGAATTACCGAGGTGTTCATGCTAGACGGCAATGATGTCTTCAGGTCAGTGGAATTGTCTTTTGCTTTCCTTGCTTATAATTCTTTGTACACACGTTCCTGTTTATTTTATTTGCTTCAACTTAGTAGTTAATTTGATGTAAATTTTTGTATTTGAGTGATTGCTAAGTAATCTACCTTCCATTTTTACTTCTACTTGCATAGTGTAGACTTTTCTTCTGTGGTTGTCATGCTCCAGTTTAGTTACTAATAGGGTGTTTGGTTTGAGGAATGAGCTAGTCCATCATCTACTCATTCTTCACTTTTTTGTTTTGGTTTGTGGAATGAATTATGCATCATCACCTCATTCCTCACAAGATAATAATTAGTACTAGTATGAGGAATGGAGTCATCCCACCAAATTTGAGGAATGGACTCATGATGCATCACCTCATGTAGGATGGAGTGGCTGCTCAAACCAAACACACTATAAATTTCACATGTTCGTTACTGAAGAGGCTGAACCATCTGTTTGATTGTTTACCTTTCTTTTCTATTTGATTGTCTAATAATCAAAGTGTCCAAATTAATCTAATCTAGTGGATGTGTGGGGGGCTTGAGGACTGGCAGGGAGCAGCTTCTTGCTTTGCTTGGCTCTAATTTCCACTACCGAGGCGTAGTCTTCCATTATGCTCAGTATCTGATCGTTTTGAGGATGCCCTACCTTTTGTTTGACAAACTATAAATTGACGAAAAAATGATAATGATACCTTTGTGTTTCTTCCTGTTGTGTTCTGAGATTGTTGTTATTGTTATGCTGGTGCTTATTCTCTGATGCAACCGTGTTGTATTGCGGGGCATATCTCATTGAGAATCATTACATCTCTGTTTTGTTACACTCCCTGTTAATGCAAACGAGAATTATGAGCGTTCATTGGAGGAACATGTGAAGCGAACTCTGTTTGATTTCTGGATTTTCATTGTCTGGTGGTTCTATTAGTGTGTAGAAAGCTGATGTGGGATTTCATAGTTTGTTGTCACCATTCCGCTTGTCAAGAAAGACCATTCTGGTATGACCAATTTATCGATGCTTTATATCTTCTCACCTTGAAATTGTCAACTATTTGCAATGGCAAAATAGTTAAAACTACAGAACGTACTATCATCTCTTTTTCTTTTTTTTTTGAAATTATGAACAGAGCAGTTACATATTATGGATATTTAAACCTACTAAATTTGATGATCAGAAGTCAATGTGTACTAGTTCTTATCTAATTTGGATTACTCACAATATTTTTGGTGGTTTTACATTTTCTTTGGTTCATAATATTGCAGTAAAGTTGTTTATATGGCTCTTTTTTCATGCACAAGTTTCTACATTTGTCTAGAGAAGGTGACAGTCCTAGTAAATAATGAACTTAAAATACAAGATCTGAGTTTCATTAACTTGGGCTGTTTACCTTGTCAAGTGCCAGCCACATGTGAAAGGGCCTTTAGCTGCGTTGGTTAGGTGGCTTGAGTAGCACTCCTCTGGTCCTTGGTTAGACTCCCCGTGGGAGCAAATTTTTAGGCTGGGGTTAAAAAAATCCCCTCATCTGTCACACGCCAAAGCACAAGTCTATGGTCCGGCCCCGGTCGTGGTCATTATCCTATAGGCTATGGTGCCCCTGTGTATGGGTGGGGCAGGGGTTTGGGGGTTTTCTCGACCTGCATGAGAAGGTCTTCTTCGTAGGCTGAGTTTGTTTTAGTGCCAGCCACACAATTAGATTGTGCCAGGATTCAGGAATTTCATAGTAGCAATAGCATGTCATAAAGCCTTTTCTGTGGTCAATGAAGTGTAGAGGTATAAGTTCCCTTGAGAACCTACCAGGCCACCACTTAAGACTCTTGCTTATAGGAGTAACTTACATGTGACTATATAACTAACATAAGTCTGACAACTTATTTGCTTCTTTGGAGGCCATCGAAATGAATAACCATTTCATCCTTTGGACTGAGTACTGTGTACACAGACATTCACTTCAGTTTACAGATATCTCCATGTCTGTTCAAATATCTGTTATGCGGGTATTACAGGTATGGAGTAAGCATGCTGTATTTGTATTTAGAGCACTCCATATCTGTTCAGATATTTGTTACATTGTTCGGTTATTGTTGGTGAAGACCGAAGTTGACTTGGGTAGAGGCAATAAAAGGAGACTTGAAAGGATGGAATATACCCAAAGACTTAGCCTTAGATAGGAGTGCTTGGAAAACAGCTATTCACGTGCCTGAACCTTGATTGCTTCTGCTGGGTTTCAACTCTAGCCTACCCCAACTTGTTTGGGACTTAAAGGCTTTGTTGTTGTTGTTGTTGTTGTTGTTGTTGTTGTTCGGTTATTGTTGGTATAGTGTAAGCACAACGGGTAATTGGCGCATTGATCTGTGTAACAATCTGCATATAGCTCATCGTAATAAGGTCATCACTGCAGATTTTTCCTCCTGGTTCTTAGTACATATCCAAAAATGATTATAGATTGGGGGCCTAGTTGTGGTTGGATCCAAGTGTCCTTTAGTATTTTGATAAGTTGGTTGGGGTTTAGGGGGGAGGCGAGCAAAGAGACCATGTCAAACTTAGCCACTACCGTGGAACCATCAGAGAAAACTTTAAAAGTGAGATAGACAAATAAGAGGGTTGCAAAAAGAGAATAAAAACAATCACCTTATACAAAAAGATCAACCACGACCTAGATATAAAGATTTTTTATGAAGGTGTTGTTGATATAGTTATCTATGTTTCAGTTTATATTTTTTTCCTACAAGGATCGAAACCGAATTTCATTACAAACATAACGGAATTACAGATTTCAGTGGTTAAACGAAAACGTGGACAAGGCAACACGTCCATGAAAATGATCACCAAGGGATCAACCTCATGAACAAAAGCTACCACCACGAACTAGAAATGAAAGCGCAGCGAGTACCAAAAAACCGCCCGCAGTACAGGGCTCCTGCCCAAACAGCACGCATGCCGCATACAGCTGATACCCTCACTACTAACATAAGGAACCAACTGGCGATCATCTTGAGATTGCATCTCCATGTCCTTGTTGTGGAAGAATAAGGCAATCGTCTTCACAGCTTCCACCCCTTGGATTACCTGCTTCTCCAGATCTTCCTTTAACAGACCTGCCCAGTAAATGATGAAAGAGCAAATCATACAAACAATCTCAGTAGGAGATTTAATTCTCTTGTTATCGAAACACAGAACGTTTCTGGTTAGCAAATAGCTGCCAGCCCCATGGCATACACCTGTTTACCCTGAGGTAAACTGTTACCAATCCAAATCCAATATTGATCAAAATTACCCGGTCTGCGGTTAGACCCAAAAGCATACGCCATTAGACTCCATATATATTTGGCTGTCATACACTCAAAAAAGCTATGCTGCACACTTTCTTTCTCTGTGCAAAAGGCACAGGAACATTGCCTTTCCATTTGCGTTTAGCCGTTTACTCAAATTGTCTTTAGTGAGGATAGCATCTTGAAAGACCAACCACATGAAGGCCTTGACCTTTAGGGGAATTTTGGATTTCCAAATTTTCTTGCAGCTATGTATTCTTGCAAAGCTGTTCGTATGTCGACTTCACAGAGAGACTTCTCCCATTCCCAACTAGCCCTGTCCTTCTCAATGTTGACATTACATCTATGGACAATATCCTGCAATCTTAATTGATTTTGCCAAATCCTCATGTAACAACCTCCTGAAGGTGAGGCGCCAATTTTTCTGCTTCATTGTTTCAACTGAGCAGTCCCGCTCTTCACTTATAATATAAAGTTGAGGGAACTTATCTGCTAAGGTAACCTGGCCACACCATTTATCATGCCAAAAACTGGTGGCTTTTCCATTACCCACGACCATAGTCCTGCCCCTTAAGTAGATCTGTAGATATGTCTAATTTTCAACAAATCATTCCACACAGGGGAATGCTTGTTGCTCTTCTTAACAAGTGTTATGCCCCCCCTTCTTCAAGTACTTGTGCACAATTTTCCGCCAAATCCCAGTACCATTTTCAACTTTCCACCACCATTTGTAAAGTAGGTTAACATTCATCCTTCTAAGCTCCTTGATCCCTAAACCCCCTTTTTCTTTGGGTTTAGTGCAATGTTTTCAAGTCGTCCGATTAATCGCGATTAATCGTCCTAATCGGTCCCTGGTGTTCGATTAGGAGGTCCGACTCGATTAGCTTGACCAGAAAGCTGGTCGTCCGATTAGTCGACGACTAATCATGATTAGTCGTCCGACTAGGCCATGGACGACCAGTGTGGTTGCTCTGTTTTTTTGGGCCTGTTCAACCGGGCCTATATGTGGCCTATTGGGCTTCCAATTTGGCCTATTAGGGTTAGAATAGGCACCCCAAAACACCGGAGGCACGCAGGCACGGTGGCAAACGCAGGGCGGCCGCAATTTTTCCCCGCGCACCTCCACTCTCCCACGCGCGCGTTTCCTGCCTCCCCCGCGCGATTCCTCCCCTTCCTGCGCGCGATTCCCTCTCTCTCGTGAGCTATTCCCCTCCCTCGTGTGCTATTCCCCTCCCTCGCACGCTATTCTCCTCTCTGGTGAGCTGTGAAGCCAACGGCGCCCTCTGCCAGGTCAAGTGGCCGTGGTCTTCGTGATGAGCTGCTTCGACGACGATATGTGCCTTTCCCCTCTCCATCTTCTTCCCTCCTCCCCCATCCCTCACTCTGCAACCTCTCTGGCTCTCTTCTAGACTCTTCTAGACTGCTAGGTTGCTTGCTGTGCTGTACTGCTGTGCCTCTGCTATTCTCTGGTTCCAAAAGAAAGAGAAGCAATCCACTCTGCTAGACTAATCGGCCTGGTCGACGAGTAATCGCGATTAGTCGCCTGGTCGGTCCCATGGCGACTAGGTTCGACTAGACGACTTGAAAACATTGGTTTAGTGATCCTGGACCAGACTTCCCCTGCCAGAAAAACCTTTTTTCTGACAGTGTCCATCTTATCGTTGACAAAGGCAACAAATACATTGACATAGCATATACAGGCAGATTGCTCAAGCAAGAGTTAA